ATGACGGGGAGGTAACCCATGCTCTTAGCAGCATTTCAGAGTCTCTTTAAAAAAATTAAGCCCTGGTATTGATATCACAGTTTGGAGCAGTTCACTCAGACATTTTAACCATCCTGCAGCACTTTACTCAGACACCACCTGTCGAAACTTTGGAATCATCATTTTAAAAGAAAAACATTAAAACCTGAAATCCTTTTCATTTTCAACATAGAGAAGGAATGGGAGTAATTTAATTCTTCTCCCCAGAGCCTCCCATGTGAGCAATTTGTTTCATTATCCCCTTCCCAGGACAGGTTTTGCTTATGCATGATACACATTATACAAAGCCATTAAGTGCTTGAATGACAAATGTCCATCTGTCCCCAGTGCTCCCACCAGCCCACTGCCCTGGGGTCGGGCATGCTGCATTCACCAGCGCCCCAGGAATATTTCCAAGGCAGGGCACACTTGGATGTTTCCAGATGCTACTATGGGGTTAAAGCCCCAATTTCCATGGAGCCCATCCCAGTTCACCAGCATGAAGCATAGTGCCCATGCTGCAGCCCAGGTACATGGGGCATGGCTGGTACCGGATCAGAGCCTGTCAGCCTGTGCCCTGCCTAGTAATGGAAAATCACCCAGCACAGCCCAACATGTTCTTCTGTGCCCGTGTGGATGCACAGCACTGCGACAGAACCCCAGGCTCCCGGCTCTGGAGTGCACACGTGTGCATTACACAGGACTAGAAGGTATTAATTACACTCACACACCACAGGGCTGCCACTGTGCTGGCAGGTAATGATCCTAAGGAAAGAAAGAAGTCATCCACAGCCCCTAAAGTGTCTGCTGATCTGGTTTCAGACACAGTAAATGCGTAAGATTTTTGGCGTAAGTTTTCGAGACTTTACACATTTCATTGAAATGATCAGTTTTAAAACGTGGCTTGCTTGAGGTAAGGACCTTTTGCCTCGGGAGAGCTGCGTTTGGTACCTTTCTTCGCTAGCTTTGCCTGCAAACCTGGAAAAATGGCATTGTGTGTTAACAGAGCTCTCAAAGTGTTGTGTTCCAACGGCTGCACGAACAGCCCACCCCGGGGAGAAGCAGGTGCTGGTGGTTTACACACCCTCAGTGAGGGGACTGGGAAAGTCCTTCCATGAGGTGTGTTTGGACAGAGGGGGTGACTGCAGTGCACAGCCGTGGGGTAAGTTCCACGGGAGAGCTTGCAGTGGGTCAGGGCATGATGTGGGGAGGCTGCCTCTGGACCTGGGGCTGGAGGGGTGCCCCCATCACCCTGCTCCAGCCATGGGTGAGAGCCACGACTGCTCCCCAGGTCCTGCCCTCTAGAAGCTGCAGGAAGGGAGAACTGAGCCACAGCCCAGAGAGATCCCACATAGTCCCCAGGGACAAAGCCAGCCTGTGCCAGAAGACACCATGGGACAGCTCATCAGCACCTTCATGGAGACTGTTAAGCAAAATGTAGATTCTTTTAGTAAGATGGAGCAAATCAAATGTACTTTGGGTGCCATCTAAAGGTGCTTTAAACAACTTCCATTAAGGCAATGGTCTACTAACTTCGAATGAAACAATGATGCCTCCTGAGGTCTTTCTGCTAAATACCTGATCAGGCAGAAATCTGAAGGGATGGATAGATGCAAAGTTAACACATCATCAAATGGTTATTTGTTCAGAATAAGCAGAATATTGGGTAGTTGATCCCTATTTACATGAAAATAAAGACATGTTACAACATAGGCAATGCTTTAAATTAGGAGGAAGAAAGAAACTGGAGAAAACACAAAACATTTCACAACATTTCATTTCCCAGAAAAAAACCCTAAATATAATCTTCATAAACCACAAAGGCAACAACAATTTTCCTTCATAAGATTAAATTCATGTTCATGAAATATGCAAAACACTCTGATGGCAGCGGCCCATTATCCAGCAGAAATATTGTAGAAACAGCACAAATGGAAGGAAGCATTTCTCTGGCAAACATTATTTAGCACATTTCCTCCCTGCATTATCAACATCAGGAAAACAAAAGGCCAAGGAACAACTTGCCACTCGTGGGAGGAGGTGACGGTCCATGGTCATGTCCCATCAGGCTGTGGGACAGCCTGGCCTCATCCTGTGAGACCAGTGGTGTGGGACCAGTGGGATTCCTCCTGCCTCCTGGTGCCACACACCCAGCACTGGGAATGGGGTGTCCATGAAGGAGCATCACCCACTGGTGAGGGTGTCCTCACCTAACTTCTGCCTAAGAGCTCATCTCAGTCTCCCCTCTGGCAGGTTCAAGCCATTCCCCTTGTCTTGTCCCTCCATCCCTTGTCCAAAGCCCCTCTCCAGGTCTCCTGGAGCCCCTTTAGGCACTGGAGCTGCTCTAAGGTCTCCCCTTCAGGAGCCTTCTCTTCTCCAGGCTGAAAGGACTGGCACTGACGGACAGGGCTCGGGCCCTTGCTACCATCTGCAAACCTCCACATTCCACTGACATCACTGCCACGACACAGAGAGAGCTGCAGTGTCAAGCTGTTAAGTGCAGAAAGTTATGTGGAGCAGGTGAAAGCAGGATTTGCTGCCCCATTCCAGCTATAAGTAACCCCAAAATTCCCCTTGCTAGGTGACTGTAAGCTTTTGATTTTGAGAACTGGTTCCTTTTGGCGTGTGAGCTGCTCACATTGCTGCAAAGCCAAACATGACTGAGTGAGTACAACTTGTCTTGCTCTGTTCTGACTGAACAAATAAGGCAGAATTTTCCTAAGCATGAAGTTAGAATTTGCTCAAAGGTTACTTCCCCCTCAATTACAATGACTAACAATGCATGGTACATGAATCAGAGCTTTTAAAATCCCAGTGGGAATCCATTAACCATTCAGGGCTGGACGGGTGGCACGGCTGTTACCCAGAGGTGCAATCCCATTGCTCTGTGGGATGCAGGGAGCTGCTCATGTTGAGCTGTTCTGTGTCTCTATGTCACTGCAACCCCGGTGAAGCTCAGTGACCTCATGTTACTGATGGCTCCTGCCTTATACAGGGAAACAACCCCCCGTTTTCAGTTATAGTGTGTTCTGAGGACAGCCTCGTCACAGAGAGCAGAGCTTTTAGATGAGGTGGCACCAGCCTTTCCCCCACAACACCCTCAAGGTACAGGAGCCAACAGCTCCCATTGAAATCAATTATGGTGGAGTCAATGGAGCTGAGAGTACTTGAAGTCATTCAGGAAGCACTCAGGGCTTGGTAAAACAATGTAATTTAATTACTACAGTTGGATAATCAGATTCTTTCAAGCAGGAATTAAAAAGTTTTATTTTTAAAGGCAATTTAGAAAGCACAATGTCAAACCACTTCCTTCTAACTAAGAACATATTTGTTTTAGAGCTTCTGCATTAGAGGCCATTAGTGTGGACTTCCCATGGAACACAGCAAGTTTATTTAGGATGTACATGAGCCATCCCTTCACTGTGATGCATTAAATCAATGCTGCTGGTAATGTATGTTTAGAGAAGGAAGTACTTACACTGCAGGATACTGGTGCAGTATCAATAGATCAGTTGGTTATAAATTACTTTAATATCCTCTTGATAAAAATAAAATAATCGATAAGGGGAAAAAAATCCTTTAACCTAAAGTCTGCGAGAATGGGTGGCTAAATAAAGGTACATAGCACCCCATGGACTATTGGAGCTGTGCACCATGTGTCAGCCACTGCAGTTCATTATCATCATGAAATGGTTTGTGCTGGAAAGAACCTTAAAGCTCCTCCAGCTCCAACCCCTGCCCCGGGCAGGGACACCTTCCACTAGAGCAGGTTGCTCCAAGCCCCTGTGTCCACCCTGCCCTTGAACACTGCCAGGGATGGGGCAGCCACAGCTTCTCTGGGCACCCTGTGCCAGCGCCTCAGCACCCTCACAGGGAAGAGCTTCTGCCTCAGAGATCATCTCAATCTGCTCTCTGGCAGGGTCCCGACATTCCCCTTGTCTTGTCCCGCCATCCCTTGCCCAAAGCCCCTCTCCAGGTTTCCTGCAGCCCCTTTAGGCACTGGAGCTGTTCTAAGGTGTCCACTTCAGGAGCCTTCTCTTCTCCAGCTGCCCCAGCCCAGCTCTCTCAGCCTGGCTCCAGAGCAGAGCTGCTCCAGCCCTTGCAGCAGCTCCGGGGCCTCCTCTGGACTCGCTCCAGCAGGTTCATCCAGACATAGCCAACACTGCACCAGCCCTGTGGTGGGAGGTTCTAAAGGGATTTGGATCATAGTCAAGGGATAATGACTTAGAAGAGACATGGCTGATTTTATACTGAAACACTGAACGCTATAAAAATTGTGGCAAACACAAAAAGATGGTGACATCAAAGAAATACTGACAGGAGACCCAAAACATGCATCACAAGAACATGGGTGTTCCATTTGTTCCCATGTCCTTGGGAAAGGCAGCAACAGTGAAGGGATATGGTCCTGCACATCACTGGGTACTCACAAGACTGTGTGAGTCTGTGATGGCAGTGGAGAAGAAATCATTCCAAAGCCCAGAAAGCATTGGTGGCCTGCCAGGCTCTCATGGAGGAGCTCCCTCCTGCCCACAGGAGCTCTCTCCTCCAAGCACCATGACCCAGTTTAACTTCCCCAACCAGTCTCCAAACGCACTGGAGGAATACTCCGAAGCCATAAGCACAGAGCTATTTCTGACTTGGAGACTCCGCCAGTTGCACCTGAGACTCAAGGGGTTCAATTGGGTGATCAAAGGCTGATCAGCACAAAGACCCCCTGAGGACCAGATGAGCAGTGATGGGTGAGGAGCACCAGCTCCTGGGGAAAGCCACCAAGGTGGGTCACAGAGAGGAGCCCCTTCCTGCAGCCCTTGTTGAGTGAAGGGGGTCATTACCTACAGGGTATAGGACTGACTATGAGATGCAGAAGAAAAAGCATTCTGGATTTGTGTAAAGCTCCTTATGGGATGTTTTTGCAAAGTAGCAAGGGCAAGGAAAGGGAGGGACCAAGGGGAATCAGCAAGGAACAAATAGTGGGGAAACAGAGGCATAGGCCCAGAAACACAGCTGGTTTGTAGAATTCCCCTAAGCCAAGGCCTCTTCCTGATCACTGAGGTGTGAACAACATTAACAGGCACTGACATGGCTGAAAAAGTTCCTTAGAAAACATCCTGATAGTTTTCAAAGAACATTTTGACATCTCTACTAGTGAATGGAAACCAGATGTAAAGCAAGCTCCAGGGTCTGAATGCCCATGAGCCAGTCATCTGTGCCCAGCACTCAGCCTTCATTTACTATCAATTACATAACAGCAGGACACACAGAGATGCAGATACAACACGTACCAGCCTCCGGATTTCTCTCTCACACTCCCTCTTGATCCTGCTGATCTCCTCTTGGTGCAGGTGATACACACTCCTTATCTCTGCTGCTTTAATTTTGTCAGCCTGGATGACCATGGTTAAAGCCTCTTCCACTTGCTTCTTGGCCCCCTTCAGCTCTGAAATTTCTTGCTGCATTTTTATTTTCTCAACTTCAAAGCCCTTCTTGGCCTCCTCCTTGGCCTCGGTCAGCAGCACCGTCTTCACTTTGTCGGGAGCCCCGTCACGCACAGCGTTGAGGAGCGTCTGCAGCCTCTGGATTTCATTGTCTTTGATTTTTATTACTCTCAGCAGTTCAGCCTCGTGCTGTCTCAAAAGCGTTTCTCGAACAGCTTGGAGCTCCTTCATTTTGTCTTCATGAAGCTTGACTTTGAGCTCTGTTACCACCACTGTACTTTTATGCTGTTCGTGCTCTTTGATCTGCTTCACTTCCTGGTTTTTCTCCCTTTCCAACTTGCTGACCTGGAAGGAAAAATCAAAACCTGATTACCACAAATCATGGCATTATTTAAAAACGGTACAGATCACTTTACAGTATTAGACCCCAGTGTTGCAGGTCTGTGCCTTGGAGTGAAAGCCCAGCCCGGTGGGTCAGTACGCACACACCGACACGTCTGCATTTTGTTCATTCTTTATGATCCAATACTTTATCACATATCAAACACGCCTTTCATAAGGGGGTTCCAGGTTGAACTCTGAGCTCTGCCACAGAGCCTTCATGCTGTAGACTTAGGAAAGAGCACTTTTCTCTCTTGATGCATTTTGTGTGAAGAAAATACGTGACAAACCCCTGTAAAACATCTTTACAGGGAAAAGGTTTCTGACAGTCAATGGCAAACACTCAGTCACTGCCGCAGCTCTCAGTGGAATCAAGGTTTGGTGGGTACCTTGTGGGGATCCTTAGTAACACAGTCACCAACGCGGGCAGGAGGCCCCGGGGTTGTAGAAGTGATTCCACATCTCCCACAAGTGTGTTTGCCATGGCATGGACAGGGCTGCAGACCTGAGCCTCTCCTTTGGGCAGGGGTGCTGCGGGCAGGGAACGCATGTCTGCTGTCTTTAGTGCCCTATAACATCTACCAAACAGCCCGTGCACATGTTTAAGTGATAGAATTAAGAAGTGGCTATGTCATACATTGCATTTAATTACTGAAGTGTTTATTGGGAATACATATTCCAGTCAATGCTGTTCAGTAAAGATGCCTTTTTCTTCCTCAGTTGACACAATCAGGTTTCCTTGCTAAGAATATGTCTACACCTGCCTCACAAATAGAGCACTGCAGAACCAAACTGTGCAGGGCCAAGAAAGAACCGTGGCATTATGGAGAACTTCAGTAATTCTTCTAAGGAAAAAGAAATTTGTGAAAATAAGAAAAAAATAAGAAAAAGACCCTGACAAATTTGCAGAAAAGACCTTCCTTCACTGGGAAGCAGCATAAGCAGAATATCTGCACATTTAGAAAAAGAGAAGCAAAAATGTATCATTATCACATTGCAAATTATTGATTTGAGGATGACAGTCAAGGCACCAATGCTGATTTTAGCATCTTTGTTAAACCACGACATAATAACATCCCTTGCAATCTTAGGGACAAGTTAATTTGCCCAATTCAGTGCCCCCTAAAAAGCCTGAGTAAACACAATATAAATAAGTGTCATACATTTATGCCAGAAGCACAAGCCTGGGTGAACTGACCACTGGCTCCAGACACAAAGAGGAAGTGTCTGCTCAGGAACTAGCCTAACGCATGTGCAATAGGTGCTAGAAGCAGGTAAGTGTTTAAGATAACACACACTTAGGAATTAGCCACTAATTCTGGGTAAGTCTGGGTCCTTGCTTTCTTTTTCAGCTGGGTATCTGCAGAAGCTCTCACAGCACATCCCAGAAGAATCCACGAGAAATGAGATTTTAAGCTGTTATTTCAGCACGTGCAGGCACTCGGATCCCAAATGCACCGTAAGCACACACATACGCACGGCACAGAAAGCCTTGTGAAGCCCCAGCCAACCGCATTTCATCAGATGCTTTTTAAGCAATGAATTATTCAGTAAAAATAACCAACTATCTGATTACGGAAGAGTAGTCAAAAGGCATTTGAATTGAAAACCATACCATAAACTGCAAAGAAACCATGATGAGAAGTGGCTTGGGAGGGCAGAGAAGGAAAACGGGGTCCTCATGCTTAAAACTGAAAATGATGCTTCACAACAAAAGGATTAACAGATGTTCAATTTTGTTATTTCGTGTGTGTATTTTAAGTTTCCTTAAAAATGGGAATCACAGTCTGTAATGCCTAACAATGACAACGAATAAACGGAAAAATGCAGAGGTAGTGCATGTCTCTGTTAACTTCCTGGAATCAAAAAAACCCAGAGTTGATCAGCAGAAACTAATTCAGGAGGTGAGGGGAAAGCAAACAAACTTTCCACGCCCTCTCTGGAAGGGGCTGAAAGCTCCCAAGGCTGAGGTTTGAGCTGCAGTAGCCGCTGCTCTCACAGCTCGGGCGAAGTGGCGGCTCCTTGACCACTGGTGACCAGAGCAGGAGGCGGAGCCGGGGCCTGTGGCCGGACATCTGGAAGTTGTAAGGAGCCAGTATGAAGGATTTTGAGCATAAAATCCAAGTGAAATCAGTGTAAATGTGAAGGAGATGAATCAGCAAAGAGAATTTGTGAATAACACCAATTGCACTCAAACCCCTCCCTGGAGCCACCCTCATGAATAGGTAAATATTTACTAGAGGAAGTTGTAGTGAGAGAAGCAAAGGAGGAGGACAGCTTTCAGCCATGTGATCCTGCCATCTGCTCAGAGCAGATGTTTGGGTTTCCAGACCTTTTGCTGGCATTTAGCTTTGTGATATTTCAACTTTGTTTCTCCCTGGATGGTGGGAGGAAGCGCAGAGCCCGTCCTGCCCATCCTCGCTGCTCGCCTCTCCTGCCGACAGCCGTGCACTGCATCCACAACTCTTACAGA